AATTTTTTGTATTTATATCTGTTGTTCAGCAAATTGTTGGAGTTTTTAAAATATTGTAGAATTACATTTATTCATTTTGGGGATTATAATTTGTTTTAGACTTTCTTACGTACCTATACACACACACACACAGACACAGACACACAGACACACAGACACAGACACAGACACACACACACACACACACACACACACGTGTCTATCCTAGTCATAGATTTAGAGTTGAAGGAAGCTTGGAGGCCATTATATTTAACCCTTTCCTTTTATACATGAGGAAACTGAGACACAGAAAGGAAAATGAGACTTGCCAAGGGTCACAAAGTATATGTCTAAGATTGGCCTTTCAGACTCCAAATACAGCACTCTATATACTATGTCATGCTAATGCTGACTATCTCTGTTAATGCCATACCTATTAGCCACTGCTCAACCTTCTCTGAGGTATGTCACCCTGAGATAATAACAACTCTCTTTCCCTCAAGGGAAGTTAGTATTAAGTACACAACACCAGCTTAAAGAATCTGATCTTGTGAAGTTCCTCAAAGTGATCCCCAACAGAGCTCTTTGCAAAAACCTTATTTTCCCCTGTTCCTACTTTGGGATCCCATTGCAATGTTGGTAGAGTATTCTCCTTTTGCTGCTGGTATATGCCTCCAACTTCTCCTTTTATGATGTACCTACAATGTTTAACCTCACCTTTATAACACCCCCAAGGGCAGGAGAGAAATTAAAAGTTTCTTACCCACCTCTCCTCCTGAGTTCTTCGCCAGTCTTTTCCTGGGACATACTTTTCACATCCTCTCTTCTTCCTGCTCAAGATCTTCTGTATTATTGCACTATCTACATGTAAGAATGATATTTTCCCCCTGAAATGTTCATTCACTTGTCACTACATTCTTCTTGATTTTCTTTTTTATATTTCTTGACTCTCAGAATCTCCAGCCACTTAAAACTTTGTTCTCAATGTTTCTCAGAAGAGCAAGGTGTTTGTTTTCTAAAAAAATCAAACAAAAATCCTTCCCCAGCCTACATTCCTGGCTTTGTTTAGCTCTAATCACATAAAAACACACATTTCATTTCTTATTCTTTCATTATTATCTGAAAGTTCTTAATTTTCTTCTGTTTAAACACTTTTCACAATGAACGTGCTGCTCCTGCTCAACTCTGGATTCTGAGGAAGGAATTACTTGAATTTTTCCTTTTGGTTAAATATCCAATTATTTTCTCTGATTCTTTGTTTTGTATCATACAGTTTTGTGTAATATATATTTTTGTGAGGTGGCATCAATCTTTGTTGCTTTCTGGGACAAAATGTTACAATTTTTGCTTTGATGTTTTTTAAAAAACAAGGAGTAATCTTATGTCATTCTTATTGTTCCTCCTTAAAATGTGACCTTTTTTTTACCTTGTTGACTACAAAATTCGTTGTTTGATATTGTCATTCTAAAGTCTGACTCTGCTGTTTCTTGATGATTTGAACCTCCAGTTCCTTTCTCATACCATTCGCTTCTTCTTGCTTCTTGAATTTTTCATGTTGTCTCTTAACAACATAGCAATAGCCCTTTATAATCATTTATCATAACTTGTTTAAGAATTTCATAATCAAGGGGCCTCTACTTCTATTTCAGTTCCGTGCTACCACAAAAGTGATGCTTTGAAGATTTTGAGATATAAGGGAAGTTTCTTTTTTATTATTTACCTCTTTGGGATAAATACTGAGGATTAATTTTTAAATTCAATACAAATATATTATGTCATTAATACAAATTAAGTCAATATGTATTTTTAGTAGCCTAAGATAACTGATATTCAAAATAATGACCCAGAGGCACCATTAGATTCCAGAATATTTAAAGAAAGCTCAAAGATTAAATGAATTCTGAATAGTTTTATTTTTAATGTATTTTATTGGATTCTAATTCCCTGAAAACTGATCATCCAAGTTTGTTGCACTGCAGACTCATAGAATTGTAGAACTACAAATTTAGAAAGAACTTAGAGGTCCTATGATATCCCCCTAATAAGCAGTCACTGAGTGGATTCACTCCATTTTGAACACCTCTAATTGTCAGGAGTTGTCTCTTTATTCTAAGCTATTCTATCCATCCCTGTAGCATCTGCCCATTGCCCCTAGTTCTGCCCTCTGCTCCGGATGGAAAAGGCTAATTTCTCTCCCACATGAAATGGCTAGGGAGATCAAGACATGCCACAATAATAAGGTAAGTACATAGCACCAAAAAACAGTGGCTTCAGCAAGAACATGCTACAAAGAGCTTTTCTGTCAGGATTATTATTCTGGTAAATCAGAGGAATGTATCATTCCTCTGATTCAGCAAAAATAAACCCAGATTTCAGCAAAGAAATTAATAAAGGCTCTCATGATATCTCTTAGACAATACCAAGAGATTTGGGCTAAATGACAATACACTGAATTCAGAAATAATTGAATGAATAATATATTACCAAACCCACAGAGTAATTATTATTACATTATAAACCTAGAGAGAGGGGGCAGGTAGGTGGTGTAGTAGATAGAAAGCCGGGCCTGGAATCAGGAAGTCTCATCTTCCTGAGTTCAGATATGTCCTCAGAAACTTCCTAGCTGTGTGACCTTGGGTAAGTCATTTAACCCTGTATACCTCAGTTTTCTCATCTGTAAAATGAGCTGCAGAAGGAAATGGAAAACTACTCCAGTATCTTTGCCAAGAAAATCCCAAATGCAGTCACAAAGAGTCGGCCGTGACTGCAAATGACTGAACAACAAAGACCTAAAGAGAAGACTTTAACAGAATCCCCCAGGAACCTATGCTGTTCAACAATATTATCAAGGACTTGAATGAAGGCATTGATAATATGCTTACCAAATTTGCAGATGACGTAAAAGTGGAAAGACTATTTTGGACAACAAAATCGGGATCCAAGGAATAAAGAAAGGATCAAATCCATTTAAAATGGCACTTAAATGCCAAGTCAAAACAGAACCCCATAGGGTCAGATTTGGAAGAGGACTTGAAGAAGAATTCTCTCCCCACCATCACTGACCAGGGGTCCTTGAGACCCACCTGAGGGCCTCCGAGATAGCCACACTCCACCTGTGGATGCTCCCCCTCATCTCAAGCCAATGTCTGTTACATGGTGACTTCACAAAGCTGCCTCATAGAAACAGGCTTTTCTCCCTCTAATCCTCCTACCATTTCCTTCATCAGCTGCGTCGAGAAGTGAATAAAGCTCCAAACTTAGAATCAGTAAGGCCTGAGATCTAATTCTGCCTCAGACAGTCCTCAGCTATGAGACCCTGCACAAGTCATTACCACTCTCTGCCTCAGTTTTCTCATCTGTAAAATGGGGATAATAATAGCACCTACCTTACAGAGTTGTGGTGAGAATCAAATAAGTTAACATGTGTAAAGCGCTCTTCAAGCACTATATAAATGCTAGCTATTATTACCATTATTGTCTGAGTCTTCTACTCCCAAATTCATACATGTAAATATATCATTCAGTATACCAGGAGTGTCCTTCAATATTTCAAATTCCACCTCCTTAATTGAATGGATCACATCATACCCTAATTTACCATAGTCTCTGGCAAAATAGGTATGAATATTAAATGATAACATTATATAAATACTCACTTCTTCCTTAGCCAGATTCATGCTATTATAACATCTCTTGATTTGCTATAGAATTCTTGTTTTAATCAATACCGCAAAGACTATAAATTTATCCTTCAGAATGACAAAGATCCACAACCATTTTATTGATCTATATTCAATTCTTTTCAATTCAACAACAATTTCAACCTACTACATACAAGAAACTGTGCCGATCAGAGAAGATGCAAGCCTAAAAAAGAACAGTTCCTACCTTCCAACAGGTGACACAGATAAGTAATATAAGATCATAGGATCAAAAATCCATAACTGGAAGGTACTTCAAAGGCTAAGACACTCTAAGGAGGGAGAATGCCTTAACTAGGGTGACCAGTCAAGGATTCCCAGAAGAGGGGACAATTAACAAGTCATCAAGGAACCTCAGGATTCTAAGAGAAGAAAGTGAGGAGGCACATTCCAGACACGGGGAAAGTCTGTGAAGAGAGAGGGACAGGAGATGGAGCAGCAAGCCAAGGAGACCGCTCACCCATCAATTTGGCTGAAACAGAATAATCAAGAGAAGAAATGAGTAACGTCTAGAAAGGTAGATTGGAGTCAGGTTTTAAATGCCTTTAAATGCCTGAGGCATTTTAATTTTTTCCTCTACATTCAGAAAGAAGCCACTGAAGACTTCTGAGAATGGACCCAGCATGATCAGCCCTGTGCTTGAGGATGGTTAATTTGGCAATTTTGGTGGATGGATTAGAGATCTGAAAGATCAATTAGGAGCCTGGATGATAAGGAACTAAATTAGTATGGTACAGTGTCAGCGGAGAAAAGACAACAGATATAAAAAATATGTGCAAGTAAAATCAACACCTGGCAACCCAATGTATCATCAACAGACAATTACTATGCCATAATAATATCAGTCAGACACAAGCAATAAAACATATGTGACCTGAGTACATATATGATCATATGAATAGAGTACATATTTCCAAAGGATAATTTTCAAAGAATAGCATTTCTAATTATCAAATTCATGTCATTACCAAAAGAAAATGTATCAGGATATCACTGAATTGCATTCTTACAATAGGAAATTCCAGGTGCCTATTTTATCTTTTAAATACCACATTCCTAAGTATAACCCTTACTTTGATACTTAGTTGCATCTACCTCAGTATTTTGGAGGCCTTTCTCTGGATCTTCTAATTGAACTGAGAAAGGTACAGCTTTGGAGAAGAATCTGGAAAACTATTCAAAACATCAGAAAGAAGTTATTCACAGGGAACCTTTTCTCTATGAATCGGGAAACAACCTGCACAATGTTCTAATCTTTTCCCTATGAGTTGGAAAACAATCTGCACAATGCATTAAGAATGGAAAAGTATTTCTCATTACCTGCTTTGGAAGTGACAAGCTGCAGAACAAGGGGTCGTCTTGTTACAATGCCTGACCCTCGAGGAAGAAAGTCCCTAAAGAAAAAGAATACATGTTAGGGCATTAGAGTAATTGTGATCACCTAAAACTTCCATAGTAATATTTCTAGCAATAGAATTCTTACCCTTCTCCCTCTTACACCACATATAACTGAAAGGCAGGCAGGGCAGTGCAGTGCAAAGAAAACTAGTGTAAGAATCAGGAAGACCTGTGTTCTAGTCGTGGCTGGCCAGGGCCCTTCACCTCTTAAGACCCAAGGAAAGTAATTACCAATTGCAGAAAATATATCCACCTATGTTGACAGAGGAAGCTGTTCCCAGCAAGAACTCCCTGCACCAAGGTAGTCACAGTCCGGTCAAAAAGAGAAACCACAGATCCCACCTAAGGAAAACTTGTAGGTCCCCTCTTTCCAAAGTGATCAGAACTCAGCACTAATTTGCTTCTATAGTCACAACAACTAAGTCCAAATAGCAGATGCTTCTGTTTAAATAAAATCATGAGAGAATGGGATATTCTAATTCATTGTCCAATAGTCATAGTCCATAGTACATAACAAAATGCATTACTGGTCACAGACTTAGAAAACAAAATACACAGCACAGACGTCAATATTTCTCAATGTCTCAGGTCATGACTTTGAACATAAATTAACATTGTAAAGCAACATAGATATAGGCATTGTAGGAAGTTGGGCTGAATCTGTGTTGTCATGCTCTGAAAGTTGCTTTTTACAAAATGAAAAATAACCCCGCAACACTGGCTCGCTTGTTTGTAATTTCATTTTTTTTAAACAACAAAACCAGAGTCCAAGGGGATGGAAGAATCTAACTTGAGTATTTCAGTTTTCTGCATTCTAGATAAATGGAAATTTACTATCATAGTTAATATTTGTTGAATAGAATTATGTAATCCACATGACAGCTAGGCTGTAAAAATATTATACAATTAAGTCTGCAGTGCAGCATAAATCATTTCTGATTCTGCAAGAAAAAATTGAAATTCAAGGTGTACCTATGGCACAATACTCAACATAATGAGCAGATTATGTACTTGAGTTTTTAGTAGGGACATCTGGGGACATCATTCAAAGGGGATTTTACCTGAAGCAATAATCTGCTAATGTGCTCAGTGACATGGGTAATATGGTGACAGGGATCAGAATCTTCACAAGACACTCAGCAGGACCTTCTTACAGCAGGATACAGCCATAGGACAGAAGAAAGGGCCCAAGAGCTGGGGCTAGGGGATCTGGGTTTAGTTCTTTCTGTGTTACCTTGGGCAAGACCTCTTCAGGACTCAATGTCTTCGTGAAATGAGGGGATTCAATTCATCAACAAGTATTTATTAAGCATGAACTACTTGCCAGGAAGTGTGCTAGGTAGATACAAAGACAAAAATGAGATAGCCCCTGCTCTCCAGGATCTTATATTCTACTTTATAGTAAAAAACATGTACACAGTTATGATGCAATGCTAAAAATTGGGGAGTTGGTAAAGGCGTCTTGTAGAAGTCTGGGAAGGAACAAATATTCCAGGAAGCAGGGGTGTACAAGGAGACTATTGCAGACATAGAGAACGAGATATGAAAAGGCACAGGGTGAGGAGAAGAGGGTGATGATGGTCTGTGCCAGGACAGTAAGTAAAACAATTTGGCTAGAATGTAGCATGTGTGAGGGTTAGCAAGGTTTAAGCATCCTGGGGAAAAAACAGCTGGAACAAGAGTATAAAGCTCTTTAAAAGTCAAACAGAGATGTTTTGACTGTACCCTGGATGCTAAGGGAAACCACTGAACCTTACGTTTTTGGTTTGTTTCATTTGGGGGTTTGGGGGCATTTTAGGAAAATCAATTTGCCATCTGTGTAGAGGATGGATTGGATCAGGGAAAGATTTGAAGTAGGGAGCACAATTAGGAGTATACTGAAATAGAAGACAGGTGATCAGGGCCTGCCTCAACTGAAATGGTTGTGAAGTGAGTGAAGATAAAGAAAAGGACAAATAGGGAGATTTTGTGGCAGTAAAATTCATAAAAATGGGCAATTGGCGGGATATGGGGTGGGGGAGGGGAATTAGAGGAGACAAGGATTATATCAAGACTGAAAACCTGGGTGACTGGAAGGATAGTACTGCTTTCAAAAGAAATAGGAGTGTTAAGAAGAGGGGCGCACTTTGGGGGCGGGGAGATGATGAGTTCTGTTTTGTGCACGTAAGGTTTGAAATTTGTAAGGGACGTCCAGGTGGAGATATCTAACAGGCAGTTGGAGATGTGGGACTGGATATCAGGAAAGAAATGAGGGCTGTACATGTAGATTTGGGAGTCATCTGCACATAAACAATAACTAAATCCTTAGGAATTGATGCGAGCAGTAAGAAAGATAATGTGTGTAGAGAAGTATACTAAACACAGACCCTTAGAGTACACACAGCCTCATCTAGGGAGAAGGACATGGATGATGGTCCTTCCCAGAGGACAAAAAAGTGTGGGTCACACAGGTAGGAGTAGGCCAAGAAGAGGGCTGGGTTATGAAAATCGAGAGAGAGAGGAGTTTCCAGATTGTGGAGGATGGCAGACACTGTCAAATGCTGCAAAGAATAACTCATAAGAGGCTGATGTGTTTAGGAGCAAAGTTATCATTGGTGAGCTCAGAGATTAATTTCAGTAAAAGTGATGGAGATGAAAGTCAGATGACCAGGGCCTAAGAGCTGGGTGAAAAACAAAGAAATAGAAGTTAGAGATAGAAACAGCTTTTTCTAGTAGCTCTTTTACCCTTGTCAAATTCTATTTATCCTCCATTAGAAGGTAAACTCCTTGAAGGCAGAAATTGTGTTCTTTTTCAGCTTTGTACCCCTTTCCACATTGTAAACAATAAATGTTTGTTGAATTTATTGAATTTCCACTGCTATCAACCTAGCTCAGGCCCTCCTTACTGCCATGAGTATTGCAATTTGCCTCCTAACTGATCTGAATCAATCCTTCCCTCTACTAAAATTAAATAAAGAAGTAATCTCAAATCATGTTACTCTCCTATTCAAAAGATTATGGTAGCTCCACTTTTCCAACAAAGTAAAATGTAAATAAGCTGTCCATTTGTTATCCACATGTTTACTCAGTGATAACAAAGATAATAATTGCTCACATTTACATATCACCTTAAAGTTTACAAAGTACTTTACATATAGTATCTCATTTGATCCCAGCAATCCTGAGAGACAGGTGCTATTCCTTTTTACAGATGGGAAAACTGAGGCTATATGAGATGAAGTGGCTTCCCACACAGCTAATAAATGTCTGAGGCAGGATTTGAGCTCAAGTTGCAGCACTCTGTCTATCTATCTATCTATCTATCTATCTATCTATCTATCTACCTATCTATTACACCACCTAGCTGCCTCCAGTGATACCCCTTAAAGCACTTTATGTGCTTAAATATGGACATATTGACATTTGTTCCAGATCACTTGCATTCACCATGGGCCTCTTCTGTGCAATATACTTTCCCCAATGACTATAGCTAGTGCTCAAAGATTCACAATCATGAGATATTTCCAGGAGAACATTTGCAATGAAAAGATGGGTCTTTGCACCTGGGCACAGTCTGGGATTATTACAAGCAAGATACAATTTTGGAAGTAGACTCCACTCCTTTCTGTTCCTCCTTTTCAGTTCTGAGTCCAACTCATTACACACATGCAATTCCATCCTAGAGCTATATATTGATTTACTATCATAGTCTACTACCTAATTGTGGAGTTTGATACAATCAGAACAAAAATCAAGTTAAAACAAGACCATCTAGAAAATTAATGCAGTAGTGTTCAAATGGGGGATGCAGTCCAATCCACTGGAGGGAACAGAGAAAATACTAAAGCTGAGGAGAGGAGTAGAACAATTTAGAGCACTTGCAGCCAATACTTGTCTTTGTTATTCTCCTTCCTGCTTCCTGTGCCCAATATAAGCTGCCCTGGACAGTCAGTCATATGCATTCCTCTCCAGGCAGACTGGTAGATGAGCTATAGTCTCATTTTTTTATTTAATTTATTTTATTCTGAACTTAAGAAATAAAACAAACATTTTTATAACATGGTAGAACAGAAAAAAGGATGATTATACATGAAACTGCAAATCTATTATGTACAACTTGCTATTTTTTAAAAATATATAATAAAGTTATGTATGTATGCATGTATATATGTATGTAAAACCATTCTATATATCTATTTGTCAGTTCTTTCTCTGGATGCAGAGAATGTGTTCTTTCATATGTATTTAATTTGGGTATTTATAATAGTCAAAATGACATAGTTACTCAAAGTTGTTCTTAAAACAACATTGTTGTTATTTATACAATGTTCTCTTGGTTCTGCTCATTTCTCTCTTCATTATTTCATGCAAGTCTATTGTGACACTAATTCACTTTTGGTGGAACTATGAACTGATCCAACCATTTTGGAGAGCAGTCTGGAATTATGCCCAAAGAGTTATTAAACTGCCTATACCCTATATCCAGCAATACCACTACTAGATCTGTTTGCCAAGATGATTAGGAAAAAAGAAAGAGAACCTATGTGTTCTAAAATAGCAGCTGTCTTTGTGGTGGCAAAGAATTGGAAATTGCGGGGATGCCTGTCAATTGGGGAATGGCTGAATAGGTTGTGGTATATGATTATGATGGAATACTATTGTGCTATAAGAAATTATGAGCTCAATGATCTCAGGCTATAATTTTCCACCCAAACACTGTCCCCAAGCATCCTCCCTGTATTCCCCACTAAAATATTAGCTGCACACACTTTTTAAGTTCTGTAGCCCAACTCTGCACAGCTTTTGCCTACCCGTAATAAGTTTAGACTCTAACAAACATGGGTAGACCCTGCTTTATGGGCAGTGGGACCATTTCAGAGCCTTAACCTCAATAAATGATTCATGGTATGTGTGCTCCAAAACCTGGGAGAAAACAGATATGCCATGGGGAATCTAAAAGCAGTGTGGTCCTCCATAGGACCTGGCAATCAGGCTGGCCCAGGATAAAGGTTAACTG